TGCCGATTTCCGCCGATCCGATTGTTTTCGATCGCCGATTCGATTTATCGATTCGATTCTGGGCTCGTCTGCATCTCGCGCCTTCCGGTGCATTCGGCCCCAGGACGCGACGCTCAGACGCAGTCTCTAGAGGACGAGACGTTCGGACGTCCGAGATCACATCACATCGACACTGACGCCCGAGAGGCTGACGCCATGCTGGCGACCCCCAATCGGTCGGTGGGGTTTCCGCTCCCCGTATCCTCAAGTCGGGCCTGTCCCTCTTCAGAAGTAATTTTCAAAAATGTCAAAACATAGTCTGGGGACGATGTTTCGACACTTGTGTAGTCTATGTTTTGGGTTCTTCTTGTCTGTTTAAATTTTCCCTTCAAAATCCGCCTGTAGGGGGACATGCCCGACCAACATCTCGCGCCTTCCGATGCATTCGGCCGTGAACGCGACGCTCAGACGCAGCCTTTAGAAGACGAGACGTTCGGACGTCCGAGTTCAGATCACATCGACCTTGACGTTCGAGAGGCTGACGCCATGCCGGCGACCCCCAATCGGTCGGTGGGGGAATTGTATTATTTCCGCTCCCCGTATCATTAAGTCGGGCCTGTCCTCCTTCTTCAGGAGGAAGATTCAAACATGAACAAAAATCGCCAGAGAACGATTTTTGTAATCATTTTGGAGAATTGTTTTAAATATGGTTTGACTATTTTTTCGTCCAAGATCCCGTTTTAGGGGAACATGCCCAACTTAACCCCAATCTGTCGGTGGGGGAATGCTATTGTTTCCACTCCCCGTATCCGCAGCAGCACATCCAGAAACGATGCCCAGGCGCACAGTTGGAAGAAGGGAGAAGTTCTGCAGAAAGGTCAATGACTCTGAACTGAAAGACCTCAGGGAGCCTCTTGGAGCTTTTTTTGTTTTGGGAGGTCTCTTGGAACCTGTTTTGGAGCCTTTGAAGCCCTCTGTGGGACTTTTGAGGTGCCTTCTTGGGCCCCCCGCGGGCGCCGCGGAAGCCCTCTTAAATGCATCCTGGAGGCCATCGATCCAAAACGCAATGGTTCTGAATTATTGCTCCCCGTATGGAGGTCGGAAATTCGTTTCATGGGCAGTCTTTTGATATTCTTGGGTCGCTTTCGGGGTCTTTGGGGCTTTCTGGAGTGCTTCTGCGCCTGTCTTCGGGTTTTCTTGCGGGCGTGGAGCCGTCTGAAGGCCTCAGAAGCCCATCGTAAGCTAACATGTGAAGAGAGCAGACTCAATGGACGTCCTGAGGCACTTGAAGGATGTTGGCCTCTCGGGGGTATCCTTTGCAAGGCTTCGTGGTTTCTTGATGCCGTCTCTGGCCCCTTGGTCGTGCAGAAGCTCGTCGTGGAACCGTCTTGGAGGGCATCCCGGGGGTCTCCGAGAGCGGATTTGGAGGCCCGGAGGGCCCAGGCGATGTGCCGGGGAGCTCGTGGCCTCCCCCCCTTTCAAACGACATGCTGAGCCCCGAGGGAGGAGGCGAGACTGGGAGGGGGCAGCCAGTCCTCTCACACGCCCTCTCGCCCCCAGGAGGAGCCGGGGTCGGCGGAGGACGGCTCCTGCTGCCAGCCGCCACGGCTACGACCACGGTCGCGAGTACTGCTTACCAGCCTCGAACATGTCCCTATCCCTGAGATTGACACGCCAAAAGGCGATGACAATCTTAGGTGTTTGCCTTCAAAGAATATGGGAATCCCTAAGATTGGCATCGTGGTGAGGCGATGCCCAGCATAGGGACAGGGATACGTTCCAGGCTGGTAAACTACAGCTGTTCAGCACCGTCAGACCGTTCCCCATGTCCCAGTGGGCCAGGGTTCCTTAGAGCCACCAGCCTGCCCTCTCGAAATTTGCACGGATGCCGCGAACGCCGACGGCGACGGAGCCTGACTAACCCATCTCGGTCTGCTTGATCCGGTCTGATATCGATTCTGGCCCGCTCGATCCGGTTCGGCTTCGATGCTCTGGCGGTCCGATGCGGCCCGATGCTCCCACGGCGCTGTTGTGCATCCTGGCGCAGCCGATCCGACTCGACTTCGACTCCGTGCCGACGCGGCCCGATCCGATCTGCACTTCGATTCGATCCGATGTTTGGACTCGATGCTGCGTGATCCTGGCCGCGGACTCTATCTCCTCCTCCTCCTCCTCCTCCTCCTCCTCCTCCTCCTCCTCCTCCTCCTCCTCCTCCTCGGGTCGCCTACGGCCCCGGGGGAAACCGTGCACGGCGGCCCCGCCCGCCACAGACGCCAGTTTCCACCGACGGCTGGTCCTGGGGCGAGTGGGAGCTCGACGGGAACCACGCGCTCCGCGTGATGGCCAGCGGCAAGCTGAGGCCCATCCCCAGGAGAACGACGAGACATGATGATGAGAAGGAGGAGGAGGAGGAGGAGGAGGAGGAGGAGGAGCAGGAGGAGGAGGAGGAGGAGGAGAAGGGGGAGGGGGAGGGGGGAGGGGAGGGGGAGGGGGGGGGGAGGGGAGGGGGGGTGGGAGGGGGAGGGAGGGGAAGAGAAGGGGGAGGGGGGGAGGGGGAGGGGGAGGGAAGGAGGAGGAGGGGGGGAGGAGGAGGAGGAGGAGGAGGAGGAGGAGGAGGAGGAGGAGGAGGAGGAGGATCGGAAAATGGGCAGTCAAGACAACAGCGGCCCTTCCTGGCGACCGCGCGCCAGATCCATGGATCGTTAATCCATGTTTGCGCGCCCCCGATATATGAGGGGGCAGCAAGGGTTGCCGAAAAGGAGCCCTTCGGGGCCCCTACAGGGGCCCAGAAGGGGGCCCTTAGGGCCCCAGAGGGGCACCCTTCGACCCCCCCCCCATTGATCCCCCCCTCCCACTAATTCGCGCCCGAGGACCGCGTCCTGAGTGATGCTTGAGGGCCCGGCCGCCGCGTGCACAGTCGCTGTGCTTAGAGTCCGCCTCGTCGCCGCGCGCGAGGCCGCTGTGCCGCCAAAAGTGGGCGCGGGGGTGGGTGGGGTGGTGGGCCCCAGGCACGGCAGGGACTCTTCTTTTCACCGTTTCCAGAAGAGTGTCCCTTGAAAGTCGTGGGCACGGTGAAAAACAAATACAAGCGGAAGCAACAATACAAGCGGTCCCGGAATCGGAACCAGAATTGGAACCGACAGAACACGGCGACGGAACCGGGAATAAAAACGGCGCCAGAACCAGAACACCAGCAACGGCCCAACGGAAGTGGTAACAAAAAACGGTCTTGTCCTCCCAGGGCCCGCTATAAGGTGGGCGGGTGAGGGGGGAGAGGGGGCGGCCGCGGTGGCGAGTTTCGGGAGCTGCCTGGCTGCCGGCACTGGCGCTCGGGTCCTTGCCCCAACCCCCGCGTGCTCCTGGCACGGATGCGCGCCAGTCGTTCCGCGCCCTGGTTTTTGGGTCGTCTTGCTGTCGCCCCTGCGCTTCCTGCGTAAGGCTGCCAGTCCTGCCCCCCTACACTCGGCCGCGCGCAGCGGGGGGTAGGGGGGAGGGAGGAAGGCCTCTCAAGAAGCAGCCTCCCAAGAAGGCTTCCCCCCTCTTCCTGCCCCGCTGTGCGCGCCGACCAATCACGCGAGTCGTTGAAAGTAGGTACTTCTGGATTCCCGGGCCCGAATCTACTTCAAGCGCCTTCCTAGTTTGAGAATCGATTGTTTGCTGCCTTTTGCTGTTCTCTGGGCGGGCCCGGACTGAATCTTCTGAATCGCCTTCCTGCTTAGTGTGTCCCACGTGCTCCTTCCAACTGTCGGGGGAGCGTAAGACCCGGGTTTGCCGGGACTCGGGTTCGCCATCGTTTTTTGACGACCGCGCCTCGGATTTTGACGAGGAGGAGTTTCGTGGGATGTCTGCAGCGGGAGGCCTCGTCAAAATGCAGGCTCGGCCTCGTCATTTTTCTGACGACCTCGTCGGGGATTTCCGAGTCCCCCGTACCCAGGTCTTACGTCTCCCCGATTAGTGTGTCCCACGTGCTCCTTCCAACTGGCGGGCAATAGCCCGTGGGCTGCGAGGATCGGGCGAGCTCCTCTTCTGCATCCCGCCGCTCGGCGCCGCCCGCACTCGGCCTCCGTGGCCCCCGACGTCTCCCCCAGGCCTCGCTCGGACGCGTGCATTTTTCCTTCGGCGAGGACCATCGAGGAGCATCCTTGATCATTTGACGAAGAAGCCACGCACGAAGCCGAAAAAAGCGCAGGGAATGGACGTCCGAGCGATGGCCAGCTCCCACCTCCCTCTGCTTCGGGTGCTGTGTGCTGCATGCGTCGGCCGTGTCCTAAGCCCCCATCCGCAATGCCAGGCGGTAATTGAGCCAGGCGTGGCCCGCCCTATAGTACTCGCTGCGGGGGCACTCGCGCGGCCGCCGACGAAGAAGCCTGGGGAGGGGCATTGGGAGGAGGAAGGGGAAGCGTGGGATGGAGGTGGGTGGGGTGGGGGGTGGGTGGGGGGGGGAGGATGCGGGGAGGAGGAGGATAGTCACGACGGGAGGGGGGACGAGGACGGTGACGAGCACAAGGAGGTCAGGAGGAGGAGGAGGAGGAGGAAGAGGAGGAGGAGGAGGAGGAGGAGGAGAGGAAGACCTGCGGATCGCGGCGACGTCACAGGCGGCGACGAGGGCGACGACAGCGGCGTGAGTGCCGGGGACGAGCTGGCCCCAGGAGCTACCCCAGTGGCGGCGCCGAGCGCGGGCCACGGCGCAGGGCATCCTGGCGGACGGCGCGCTCTTGTCTGAAAAACAGACGGCTCCCAGCATGGAGATTCCCATCGGCGACTTGAGCCAGGCCCGCGACGGAGAACGCGAGGGGAGGAGGAGGATGAGGAGGCGGAGGACGACGACGATAGCGAGGAAGAGAGAGAAAGAGAGAGAGAGAAGGAGAAAGAGAAAGAGAGGCAGAGCGCGAGAGAGAGAGAGAGTGGGGGGGCAGACAGAGACACCTTAGCCTGTAGAGGGGCCGAACCCTAGCAACCTCACATAGCCACATAGCGTTTGTGATGAACCGCTCGATGCACGGCCCGTCTGTAGACTGCGCCAAGACGCGCGGGAGGGATCTACGCAACTTGTCCCGTTGGTGTCGTATGTGGAGCTTCTTGGAGGGGCGCGAAGTAAGCCAGAATGCTCGAGAGACGTCGTGCACACGTTCCCGTTGGGGCCGTCGGTGGGGCTCGCGTGAGGGGTGTGCCGAAACGGGCGGAAACACGCATGCACACTTTCCCACAGAGGCCAATGTAGAGCTTCTCTTGAAGAGGACACGGTCCTCGTGAGGGGTTTACCGAGGTGGGCGGCTCCGCCATGCGGACCTTGCCATTGGGGCAGTCGGTGGACTTCCCTATGGGACCACTGTCCGCGTTAGGGGTGTGCCGAAATGGACAGCTCCGCCAGGCACATGTTGCACTTGAGCCGTATACGAAACCCGCTATGGTGCCACGAATCGTGCGAGGGGTGTGCCGAAATAGACGGCGCCGCTATGCGGAGCCTCCCTCCGATGCCGTATGTGGAGGTCTCACGTGCGGCAACGACCATTGCGAGGGCTGCGTTGACATGGGCGGCACCACCATGCGGATCTCCCACTGAGGCCGTAGGTAGAGCTCCCTCCATTTGGGGGCGCGATCCTCTAAGGCCGTAGGCAAAAGAACACACAACGTGTGAGGGATGTACCGACATGAGACCGCAGGTTCAGCTCCCGATCGGGCCACCAAGCGTGTGATGGGGTCTGCCACATTGAGGGCGTGTGCGCCACGCTGTAGCGCCCACAGACCGCAGGTGGAGATCCATGTGGGGCCACGAAACGTGTGAAGAGTGTGCCGAAATGGGCGCGGCGCCGCCATACGCAGGCGCCACTGAGGCCGTAGATGTGGACCTTGTGGGGACACGAAGCGTGTGAGAAGTGTGTCGACTTGGCGGCGCGATGCAGCCAGTCGTCGGCGCCCAAAGAGGCCCGCAGGTTCAGCTCCCTACCGGGCCAAGAAACGTGTGATGAGGTGCCCCGAATTCAGGACTTGTGCGCCGTGTTGCCGCGCCCACCGAAGTCGCAGGTGGAGATCCCCATGTGGCAACGAAGCGTGGGAAGGGTGTGCTGGCTTGGGGACGCCGTGCTGCCATACGTTGATCCCGCTGAGTTTGGTAGGCGGAGCTGAGTGTTAGGGCATGCGGCGTGTGAACGGTGTGCCGAAAATGGCACGCGGAGAGGTTAGTCCTTCCGGGCCCTTCCGATGTTCGGTCTTTCTGCCTTTGCTTCCTTGCTCCAGTACTCGTCTCTTGCAGCAGTCCTCGTCTCGACATCCCTCTTCTTAACTCTGTCGCGATTCCGTTGCTGTTGTGCCTCTGCCCTCGCGCGGGTCGGCCTTGTGGTGTCTGTGTCCTTGGCAACTCCGCCGTTACTTTGACTGCACGCCGCCAGACGATGCTGGTGTGGGAAAGCGCTTAGCTCTCATGCACGCTAACATCAGAACCTGCTGATGGACGGGTGCCGTCGCAGATGCCTCGGTAGACGCTATGAGGCAACCTTGTGCTGGGGCTGCTCTGTGCTCGTGAGCACCAGCCGGTCTCCGTGACAAAGTTGGCCTCAGCGGCGAGGCGAGAGAATTCCCCCAATCCAGATTTGGGGCTATGCCGCTTGGCCACTCTGTTTGCTTTCTGGGGTGCCGTGATCGTCCCTCGTGCTGTGGCTTCGCTGTGTGTTCTTGGGGGTACCATTGTCGTCCCCTGTGCTGTTGCTTTGCCGACTTCTGTCTCCTGGTGAGCCGTGATCGTCCCACTTCAGTCACAAGACCGCTGGTCTTGTGGCCGCACTCGGCGTTTACCGCGGCACTTCTGCTCCGTTTCATCCTTTGACTTGTTCGTTAGGGCGGATGTCAATTTTGGGAGCAATTTTTCTGTACTAGAAGCGGTTGGCATCGCTCTGGTAACAAGGCAAGGTACCAGTCCAGGCGAATGGCAATGCGTTCCTGGAGGCCTCGCGCGGCGCGCAACACTTGTATTATCTAGTCCACACGTCAGCTCCGCAAGCTGTGGGTCGACGTTCGCGCGGCGATGCTCTGGCGTCCGTCCGACGTAAACGCGACGTGCCTCCGACGTACATCCGACGTGAACCCGACGTAAATCCAACGTACATCGGGTCTCAAGTTGCCGCGCAAGGCCTCCGAGATTTTCTTCATAGCCATCGGTCGTTGAAAGCAGGTGTTTTTGGATTCCCAGGACGTAATCTACTTCAAGCGCTTCTCTCCTGCAAGAACCGATCTGGTCTGGCTGTTGCTTGCTATTCTGTTGGGCGAGCCCGAACCCAATCTACGTGATCCGCCTTCCTGCTTCATGTCCCTGCCCACTTCTTCCTGCCGGTGTATAATTGTATGTTTGGGTTTGACTGTGGCACCACGTGCGCTCGTCTTTCCGTGTGCTGAGCGCTCGCGTGCAAAAAAAAGTGGTGCCCTCCGTCGGCCAGCTGAATTCCCTGTCCGTCAGATCTTTGGGGGCCCGCGCCTGGCATGTTGTGTATATATATACACACGAGAATCGGTTCGCCAAGGGGAATGTTTTTCGAAGAACTGAAAGCGCCATGAGTTTTTCGAAGAAGAGAAACCGCCATAAGCACAAACTTTTGGCGCTCCGCGCGGATTTCTTGGATCCGCGCTGCGGTGGCGCGCTCCGCGCGCTGGGGAGGGGGGGGGACGCCGTAGAACCCGCTGTTTGCGCGATTACAGCCAGGAGTAGTTCTTGATCTCCACTACGGAATTTGATGTGTAAAACTTCACTGTGAAAATTTATTTGAACAGCACAAAACCAAATTCAAGTTATAATCCGCGTCAACAAGTCAATTTGTAATCTATCATTTGCAACTTGATGTTGTTTGTGGGCATGTCCAGGTACAGCGACAATCAAAGTCAATGTGTAATCCATTCACAACTTGATTTGATGGTACGGATTTTGAGAGTCAGCGCAGGGTCCGCGGATGTTTACCAGGAAAACAAGAAACAGTCCATGAAAATTCTTATGCCTTCACATGGAAAAATATGATCAACCAAGGAAATTATGTGATTGCCAGCGTTTTCGTGTGTTTCATAATTACAGATGGCAACAGTCACAGGTGCTCTGTGGTTTCTCCGATTGTTTCTGTGCCAACAGAAGTTCTGTTGTGGTTTTAAAACATGTTTGTTATGTTTCTCATGCTTTCCGGGTAAGCTTCCGCGGTTCACGGCGCCGCCATTGCAATTCCCTTCAATCAAAATGAAGTTGCAAGTCATTCACACATTGATTCTGATTGTGGGGATGTCCAAAGACAACGACGATCAAAATCAATGTGTAATCCATTTTCAACTTGATTTTGATTGTGGGGATTTCCAGAGGCAGCGCCTGGGGGTCTCGGAAGCTTACCAGGAAAACAAGAAACAGCGGACAAATTTTATGCCTTCACTTGGAACATATAAATAAACAACGAGAGCTTGTGACTGTCAGCGTTTTCATGGGTTTTGATAACTGCAAATGGCAGCAGTGAAGGGTTTTCATTGGTGATTCTTATCTTCCCCAGTGCAAGCAAGTGTTCACAAGGAATCCCTTGTACAGGCCGCGACAAGAACATCCGATTGTGGAGGCCACTGCAGATCCCCCACATGTCCAATCCTCTTGCAAGGTTGCCACACAGAGGATAAGTTTGCCAAGGCCGTTACAAAAGGATTTTACTTGCAGATCACCTGCGCAATAAAGAATTGCGACAATCACATGTGTTTCTAGTTGTTTCATGGGTTCCCATGTGGGCACACAAGCTTTTTAAGGTGTGTCCTGTCTCTCCTGCTTCCTTTTTTAGCTTTCCTGGGCTCACGGTGCTGCCACTGCAGATCCCCCACACGGAACCTTTGTGTAAGGCCGCCACACACGGGATATGTGTGCACATGTTGTGGCATAAGGGTTCTAAGTGTGGAGGCCGTTGCAGACCCTCTACAAGTATAATATGTTGTAAGGTCGCCACAACAGAAATCCGTTTGGAAAGGCCGCTACAGCACATGTTTTTAAGTGCAGATCATCTGCATTCTACCAGCAAAAACGACAGTCACATGTTGTCCTAGTTGTCGGTTGTTTCCCTTTTTGGCAACGTTGGATGTTTATTGTTTGCCACGTTTTTATCCATGGTTGCCGCTGTAGCGCTGATGGGCTCAATGTGCCGCCGCTGCAGCCGCCCCACGTTTAAAACACGTTTGCAAGGCCGCAACAAGAATAGTCTTTTTCGCGCAGGTTGCTGCAAAGGAGTTCTAACCGGTGAGGCCACTTCACACCCTCCACACTGAAAATCCTCTTATACGGCCGCCACAATAGGCACCCTTTTGCCAAGGCCGCTTAACAAATACTTTACTTGTAGATCATCTGCGCTTTACAAACAGCGGCAGTCGCAGGTTTCCTTTGATTTGTCTTGGTTTGCCATGTAGAAGCAAATCCTTGTTTATAGTTTTCTTGCTCCTGTTTTCCTCTGTAGCTTTCCTGGGCCCCACGTGCCGCCAGTGCAAGTCCCGCACACTCAGAACCCGTGTGTGCAAGGCCGCCCCCCAAAAAAATCAATCCCTCCGTACAGGCTGCGGCAGAAGGATTCTAAGTATGGAGGCCATTGCAGATGCCCACAATGCCAATCCTTTTTGTAAGGTTGCCGAACAAGAAATCCGTGTTTTAAGGCATCTGCGCAATCACAGGTGCTCCTAGTTGTGTTTGTTGTTCGTTTGAAAACGCATGTTTTTGGCTGTTGTTCCGTTTTTGCTCTGTCTTCCCTTTGAAACCTCTTGGGTTCAAGGTGCCGACGCTGCAAGTCCCCCCCACAATATCAACCTTCTGTGTAAGGCCGCCACAGAAGGAATCCAAGTGTACAGGCTGCTACAACGATATTCCAAGTGCGGGGGGCCACTGCTGATCCTCCACAATTCAAATGATATCTTGGTAAGGTCGCCACGGAGGGATTCCTTTCGTAAGAGGCCGCTGCAAACATATTGTATTGTCGACCATCTGCAGCGTAAACCAGCGATCTTCACAGGTTGTCCTAGCTGTGCCGTGTCTTCCCTTTGGGAACACACGTTGTTCTTACTTCTCATGTTGTTGTCTGGTTTCGTCTGTAGCTTTCCTGGGCTTAAGGTACCGCCACTGCAGATACCGCAGAAATAAAACACTTTTGTAAGGCCGCTACAAAAGGACTCCCTTTGTACAAACCGCCACATAAGAATTCAAATTGTAGAGGCCACTTCAGATCCTCCACACGTGAGATCCTTTTGTAAGGTTGCCGCAAAAGGGATCCTTTTGCAACAGCGTTGCCGAAAGACTTAGGGGGAGAAAGAAGATACAGGGAGATCAAGAAGACCGAGGACGACCAGCATGCATGATGAGTAAACTGATGATCCATAGCGTTCAAATCGCTAGGACATCTACCAACACTGCCATGTTGTAATCATACAAACAGCGGGTCGGACCCGGGGGGGCAGCGCGGATCCAAGAAATCCGTGCGGCGCGCCAACAGTTTCTGTTTATTGCGTTTTTTCTTCCTCGATGTATATACCAAAATTGGTTTGCCACAGGGAAGTTTTGTTTTGGCCACCGACTTTTTGTGTGGAGTGGTGATACCAAGGGCAGGGTAAGGCATAGCTTGACTGCGGCAAACCTGTCGGTCGCGGACTGGCCGCCTTCGATGGATTTGCCTGGCTTCGCCCAGGGCGCTGATGCTACTGCAGCCCAGACCCAACGCCCAGTCGGCCACCAACTTCGGTGGGTCGCATTCGCCCCTGCATAAACAGCTGCCGGCAAAAGACTCGCTCCGCATAAATTCAAAGCGTGTGTGTGTGTTTGTGTGTGTGTGTGGTCTTCCCCTCCCTCCTCTCGCGCCTACCGGTCGTAGGCTTTCTCGCCTGTTTTTTCTTTCTGGCACCGCTTGTTTTGTTTGCCCTGTCATCGCCTATTTGTTTGTTCGGGGATTCTCAGATCAGGTACGTTGCTCCACAATGAATCTGAGTTCCTCTGAGGGTGACTGACCCCCCCATCCATGAGCCGATTTGATTTTTCGGCGTGTCTCGTTATGTTCGTCTCCAGATTTCTCTCCCTCTCTCCATCTCTCTCTCTTTTGCTTCCCCGCTCCCCCCAACCTGTTCCATCTATTTTGTCGAACGTCTCTCCTGCATGTGTCCCCGTCGTGTTATATGCCTTGAATATGACCTGCTTGTCTGGTTTGGACGCGACCAGAGGGCTGGTGGAACTGCTTGGCCAAAGGATGCCCCACATCGTACTTCGTGTTCCCGGGGGCCCACACGAATCCTTGAGCGTTTTTAAACCACCCTCGAAACAGTCAACTTCTACACATGTGTCATGCAGTCCCCTTGTCGATGTGATGTCTGGGCTTGGGTGACACTGCGAGCAAGGTACTTGTTGGTACCTCCTTTCCAATGCCTGTCATCGTGGAACTTCCGAAATGACGGGGCCGACATTAAATGGGTGGAAAGCGGCCGATATTGAAGTGGCGCGTTTATTATTTTTGAGGTTCATCTTGTTGATGGTGGTAGGAGACGGAGGAACATATGATCAACGTGTCTTTCATTTCTATGATATTGATAATCGCCTGCGCCGTCGTGTACTGCTAGTGCCGTGTCGCCGCAGCCCCAGCGCAGGTGCACAACCCCGGCAAAGGCGACGTTTCCCTGGAGCTGCAGGACGAGCTCACCGGGATAGGCGGTGAGGCCGAGGCTTCCAGGGCAGCCGCCCGGCAGATGGGGCAGGAGGATTGGATGTTTGGCAGCGCCGGGGTCACCATTGATCTAGGCCTCCTAGATGGGGTCGGAGTAGATGGGGTCGGAGGATCGCGCCGCATCGCCGATGCATCGCCGATTCGGCTCGATGTGCAGCCCGATTCTCTCCACGCCGACGTCGCCGATGCGTCGTCGACGTCGGCGGTGCATTGCCAATACATCGGCGATGCATCGCCGATGTATTGGCGATGCGGCGCGATGCTCCGATCCCATCTCCTCGGAACCCATCTAGGAGGCGTCTAATTGAGAGGGTTGCCTCTTCGATCGCGTATATCGAAGAGGAGCGATTCCCCCTTGCGCACCAGGGAGTGGGGCCAGCGCCGATCCAAGAAATCCGCGCGAACCTCTGAAAGTTAGTGTTTATGCGATGTGTGGCTCCTCTAGAGAAGTTGCATCGAGCATCGATCAGTTCCACCAGCCCTCTGGGCGCATGTGGTTCAGCGACTGAGGTGTTCCAGCCTCCTCCTTCTGGAGAGAGCCCTACCTCTCCGCCCGACCTCCTCCCCCTGGATCTGGAGGGGCGGCGCGAAGCGGTGGATATGGCCCAAGACGGTTCCAAGATGCCCCAGGTAGTCAAAGACGATGTTGAAGATCACACAAGCCCAGACCCCCGACATCATGATCTGTTTTTAACGTCGGCACCCGAGGTCTCGAGCCATTCCCTGGGATCAGTTTTTCAGCGTGAGCCGTTTTTTGACGGTCCCGAGGCCTGGTTAGGGCCCCCAGAGGCCGAACATATGGAAAAACCTCCCGTCATGTTTTTTCATTACCCGAAGGGGTTTGGGAGATAGCCAATTCTGGCCCTCGACAGCCTCCAGCATGCCTGCAAGAGGCTCCCAAGATTGCGCGGCTCCAAGTGGCCATAGTGGCCTCCCAAAGACGCCCTCGCAAGGCCCACGTCCCTTCCGAACCTGCGAGCAACAATGTGGTTTGCCTTTTCGCTCTTTCTCTCCCAGTCAATCGGCTTCGATGGGGCCTCAATGCAGTGGAGGCCCATGCCAAGAACCACCCTGCTTGCCTCCAGGGTGCCCTGGGTTCTTTGGGAGGCTATGGTTTTGCGATGGAAAGCGTGACGTTCCCACACCAACAATCAATGGACGTCCTGGGGTCTCAGGGTTGGGTTTCTTGTGGAAGGTTTCTTGTGGACTGGCCTCCACTGTATGGCTCCAGCATTGCCAAAGGGAACCCCGAAGGGGCCCAGAGCAACCTGGTGTGTGGCTGAGCAGTCAGCCTCGCAGGCTCGCAGCCAGGGGCGTCCACGAGCGCGACAAGAGGGTCCCTAGATGGCTGCGAGAAGCGACTTTTTATTATCTGCTAGTTTTGAGCGGTTCTGGGGGGCGAGAAGGGAGAAGGGAGGAGGAGGAGGAGGGGGAGGAGGAGGAGGAGAAGGAGGAGGAGGAGGCGGAGGAGGAGGAGGAGGAGGAGGCGGATGATGATGATGATGATGATGATGAGGAGGAGGAGGAGGAATGATACAACTAATAAGAAGAAGAGGAGGAGGAGAAGGAGGAGGAGGAGAAGGAGGAGAAGGATAGGGTTCTGGGGGGGGGGGTCGTTCTCCCTTTCTCTTCGGGGAAGAGGTGGCCACACCCTGGTAGTGGTGAGACCTCCGTTTGGCCCCGCCCGCGCGTTTGGACACGTCGAGGCAGGATACAGCCAGACCGATGTACAGTCGGCCCTGATTAGTAGGTCGACCCTGCCAAATCAAGGGTACCCTTGGGTACCCTTGTGCCCTGTGCCTCTCAAAGATCGGTGCGGGGAGGGTGCTCTAAGGTTCTTCGTGTTTGTTGGATGTTCTTCTGCATCCTGGGAGATGCTGCCCTCGAATGTTCCTCAACCTGGCCGTCGGAGGGTCTCGTGTTCTTGAAGGATGTTTTTCTGTCCTGGGTCCGACTGCAGCAAGTTGGCCGCAGCCTGCCAAGGTTGCGCCTCAACGCAGCAGCAGCAGCGGGTCCAGGGACGGCCCAAGAGGGGCCGACAGACGACGCCGCGGCCCGAGACGGCCGAGCGAAGCGGGAGGGAGGCCGAGCCGACCCTAGGGAGGGCGTACAGAAGGGGAGGCTCAGAATCGAAGAAGAAAACACGACATGACAATCAACTTTTGGCGCTCCGCGCGGATTTCTGGATCCGCGCCTGGGCTCCCCGGCGGCGCCCCCGGCGCCGCCCCTGGCTCGCTCCGCGCGCCAGGGAGGCGGGTCCAGCGCGAATCCAAGAAATCCCCGCGGAGCGCCTCAAGTTTATGCTGATGTGGTTTCTCCGTCTCCTTGCAAAAAGGCAGACGAGGAAGAGGACGACGAGCACCGCGGGCCCACGATCCACCCCGCGGCGCTGCAGCACAGGCTCCCCTCCCAAGGCCCCCTTCTAAGAAGTAGCCGCCCTCAGAGAAGTCTTCCCCCCTCCCTTTCCCCCTCTCTGCGCGCGCCGCCAAACCATCGGCAGCGACAGAAGGACGTACACGTACATGAATCCACGTTGATTTCGAGGGCACGCACTGCCTCCTCCTCCTCCTCCTCGTCGTCCTCCTCGTCGTCCTCCTCCTCCTCCTCCTCCTCCTCCTCCTCCTCCACCTCCTCCTCCTCCTCCTCCTCCTCCTCCTCCTCCTCCTCCTCCTCCTCCTCCTCCTCCTCCTCCTCCTCCCCCCCCCTCCTCCCCCCCCCCGTGGATCCAGGGGCCGTGTTCATGTACATGGTTGGGCGCGTACGTCCTCTGTGCGCGCCGCCAAAGGAGAGCATGTCCTTGCACGGTGATGCGGATCGTCGTGCGCCTGAGCGCCTGCGCACTGGGATTATTCTGTAGGCTATCCCGCTCTGCCGCGCGAGGGGGAGGAGGAGGAGGAGCCCCTTCCCATCCTTGGCCTCTCGCTGGCCTTCCGGTGCCCCTGCATCCTTACCGCGCATGCTTAGTCTGCGACTCGACTGTAGGACCAGGGAAAGATGGGTAACCCGCGCGGACCTCACCGATGCCCCCCTGGTCGCCCAGGACGCCCTGTGGACCTCGTCGGGCGCACCCTGGAGGCCTCGTGGAGGCCTCTGCTGCTGGTCTCGTCGACCCCCTGGGGGGCGTGCTGAGGGCCCTCCAGTGGGCCTCCGCCCACTCCTCCTCCTCTTCCTCCTCCTCCTCCTCCCTCCTCCTCCCTCTCCTCCTCCTCCTCCTCCTTCTCCTCCTCCTCTACCTCCCTCCCCCCCCTCCTCCCCCCGCGCGCGAGCGAGGTGCTCCACGAGATCCGCTTCTTCGTCCCGCCCACCCCCGGCGCCGAGATGGCGGCGGAGGCGGCGCTCTTCGGCGACTGCGCGCCTGCTTCTCTCTCTCCGCGCGGCGCGGCCGCGCGGCAGCCTCATCGTCTTCCGCCCCCGCCTGAGGTGGGGAGCTGTCCATCGGCAGCGAGCGAGGGGGGGAAGTTGAGAAAGAGAAGGCGTTCTCGGAAGGCGGCTCAGAGGAGGAAAGGGTACCCATACCTCTACCCTCCGCCCGTTTTCCCCTTTGGGGGCCTCCTGAGCGGCCCTCGTCGCCACCGCTGGATTCGCCTCGAAATCTTGGTCAGAACGCACCCCAGGAGAGGTCCAGGGAGTAGCGGTATCGGTACCTTTTGGTTTCCCCAGCGGCCGGACTTCTCAGACGCCCTCGCGCATCCTGAGAATTTTCGTGCGTCTTCGGGGAAGGCTCCGAAAACTTCCCAGAAGACCGGGTGACTTCCGAGCCTTCTCAGAAGGCCCGCCTCTTCACTTCCGAGCCTTCTCAGAAGGCCCGCCTCTTCTCACTTCTCCCCCTCGCTCGCCTCCCAGTCCAGGACCACCGTCTGGGAGATCTGCCTTCCCAGATCCCCCATCGGGCAATGAAGAAGTCGCCGCGCCCCGTCCTCGGCCCCTGTAGTCCTCCGCCGGCCCTCGGGACCGTCAAAAGAGACGACTCGGGAGGAAGAACTGGTCCTCCTCCTCCTCCTCCTCCTCCTCCTCCTCTTCCTCCTCTTCCTCCTCTTCCTCCTCCTCCTCCTCCTCCTCCTCCTCCTCCTCCTCCTCCTCCCAGGGGAACAGGTCGAGGCCCGCGGAGGGCCGACGCTGTGACAGGATCACGACGTCGTCCGGGGTGTCTGGCTTCGGGGCCCCGGGCGGGCGCCGAAGGAGGCAGGTCGGCACGAAGACAAACTTTGGGAGCTCCTCCCCCTCCTCCCCTCCTCCTCGTCCCCCTCCTCCCCCTCCTCCTTCCTCCTCCTCCTCCTCCTCCTCCTCCACCTCCTCCTCCTCCTATTCCTCCTCCTTCTCCTCTCTCCTCCTCCTCCTCCTCCCTCCTCCTCCCTCGTCTGCTCCTCCTTCTCCTCCTCCTCCTTCTCCTCCTCCCCCTCCTCCTCCTCGCTCGGACCTGCGCCTGGGCCCCTCGCCGACGCCTCCGGCGCCGCCACTGCTCCACGCGCCAGGGTGGGGGCTCTGGCGCAGGTCCAAGAAAGCCGCGCGGGCCGTCGAACGTGTGCACGTAGTTGTTTCTTCGTCCGGCTTGGAAGATCTATATGCGGGACTTTCGGCAGGCGGTGACCATGGACGTAGTCAGGGAAACCGCGCCAGTGGATCCCCCTGAATACACAAAAGGGGGGTGTGATCGCAGAACCCTTCCCCCCCCTTCAAAGGGGGGGTGAGATTTTCCACCCCTCCCCCCTTCCCCCCTTGAGGGGGGGGATCCGAACCCCCCCCTCCCCCCCTCCTTGAAGGGGGGGGGGCTTCCGGACCCCCTCCCCCCTCCCCCCCTTGGCGCTGGAAAGGGGAGGGGGGTCGAACCCCCCACCCCCCTCCCTCCGTTTGCACCGAACAGGGGGCTGTGGAGAGGTCCTCTCCCGCAAGGGGGGGGGGTCCGGCCTCGGGATAGTGAGTAGTAAGTAGAGAGTAGAGAGTAGTGAGTAGCGAGTAGTGAGTAGTCAATAGCGATTAGCGAGTAGTGAGGAGTGAGGAGAAAGTAGTGCGCACTGAGTAGTGAGTAGTGAGTAGTGAATAGTGAATAGTGAATAGTGGGTAGTGGGGAGTGAGTAGTGAGTAGTGAGTAGCGAGCAGGGAGTAGCGAGTAGGGCACTGTGGGTAGTGAGTAGTGAGGAGAGAGTAATCAGAAGTGATGTGCGAGAGTGGCGAGTAGTGATAAGTGAGTAGTGAGTAGTGAGTGAGTGAAGTGAGTGAGCAGTGAGTAATAAGTCGTGAGTAGTGAGTAGTGAGTACTGAAAAGTGCGTAGTGAGTAGCGACTTGTGACTAGTGACTAGAGAGTACGTAGTACGGTCTAGGGAGTAGTAAGTACTACTGAGTATTGCGTATTGGGTAGCGAGTAGCGAGTAGGAATATGCGAATAGTGAGTAGTGAGTAGTGAGTACTGTGTAGGGAGCAGGGGGTAGCGAGTAGCGAGCAGCGGATAGTGAGTAGTGAGATGCGGGAAGCGGGTTGTGAGTAGTGAGTTGTGCGTACTCCAGAGTGAGTAGTGGGTAGTGGGTGGTGGGTACTGCTTAGTGAGTAGTGAAGAGTGGGCAGTGACTAGTGTTTAGTGAGTAGTGAGTATTGAGTACTGGGTAATGAGTAGTCATTAGTGAGGTGGGAGTGATGAGTAGGGAGTAGTGGGAGCATAGTGAGTAGTTAGTAGTGGGTAGTGAACAGTGCGTATCGGGTAGCGAGAAGGGTGCAGGGAGTAGCAAGTAGTGAGTAGTGAGTAGTGAGTACTGTGTAGGGAGTAGCGAGTAGCGAGTAGTGGATAGTTAGTAGTGAATTATGGGCAGTAGTGAGTAGTTAAGTGTGAGTAGTGAGTCGTGGATAGTGGTTAGTGGGTAATGTGTAGTGATTTGTGATTAGTGAGTAGTGGGTAGTGAGTTGTGTTTAGTGAGTAGTGAGTTTTGAAGAGTGGGTAGTGAGTAGTGAGTAGCTAGTAGTGGGCAGTGAGTAGCGAGTAGGGAGTAGGGAGTAGTGAGTAGTGGGTAGTTTCTACTGAGTAGTGGGTATTGAGTAGTGAGTAGTGAGTAGTGAGTAGGGAGAAGTGAGTAGTGAGTAGCGAGTAGTGAATCGTGGGTAGTGAGTAGTGCGTAATGAGTACTGAGTACTGTTTGGCGTGCGGGTCAGGGTTTTGGGTTCGGGTTAGGGGTCAGGGTCAGGGTGAGGATTAGTGTTAGAGGTGGTAGGGGTTGGGTTCCGGAGCTCGGGGGCGCCGTGGCGCCGTGGCGAAAGGGGGGAGGGGGGGTGGGAGGGGGGAGGGGGGGGGGAAAGGGGTGGAGGGAAGGGGGGGGGAGTTTCCCGACGACGAATCGAGAAAGGGGGGGGGGGTCCCCGACGACGGACCGGGGAAAGGGGGGGGGGTCCCAACCCCCTCCCCCCCTTGGGGGTATCCAGCGGCGCACCCTCGTAGTCGGGCCCCGTGGGGCCAAAGCATGTCATCCACCGCCCGCTGGGGTCCCACCCGCGACGTTGGTTCCGCAGGTGGTGGACATGGATCTATCCGCGCCTCGCACTCCATATCTCCGTCTTTGCGCTGCCTTAGCCTTTGAAACACGTCAGCGATCGAGCACATTGGCCATGACGCGTGCGACCACGATTGTACAAACGAGCACCACGTGCTGAGCAGAGGCAGCGGCGAGACCAGTGCTAAGAGAACAGGCAAGAAGAGCTTACAAGGGCATGGAGGTGCAACGCAACTGTTGGCGCAACGGCAAGGTAGCCGCCATTGAGGGCCAGCAACCCTCCTACCATCTTCGCACAACCCGTCCTGCTTTTGCGAGGGTCAACCATGACTCCGCGTGTTTGTCCTTGGGCCCTGCAAGTGGGCCTCGTGGAGCGTTCTGCATCCGATCTGAAGCCCAATGGTTGCGTGGGAAACTGCCGTGGGCAGCGAACAACGCAGGCTGGCGTGCAGAGCTCCCGGTCAAAACACCAGACAGGGGCTAAGAAACAACACCCCGGTGACAAGCTGATTTGCGGCATAGTGATCGTTTTCATATTCATTGTTTTGTCGATCGGCGCGGGCCTCGCATCCGCTTCCCTCTCCCCCCCCCTGGAGTAGGTCTTGGCTGTTTTCGGCGCCAGTTTCGAGCAGGTGGGGTCTCTCCCCCATTGGACGCGTTGTTGCAAACAGTCGCACTAAGCAGAGGTCGGGAGCCAGCCCCCCCCCTTCTCCCTCGCCCCCCTTCCACCCATTGTCGAAACGCCGAATAAGAGAAGGATCACAAGCTGATATGCGCCATCATGATAACGATGATGATGGATGGTGATGCTGATGCTAATGCTGATGCTGATGGATGGTGATGGCGATGGCGGTGGTGATGGTGATGGTGATGGTGATGGTGATGGTGATGGTGATGGTGATGGTGATGATGACGATGATGATGCTGATGATGATGATGGTCAGGATGATGATGATGATGATGATGATGATGCTGATGATGATGATGATGATGATGATGATGATGATGATGATGATGGTGATGGTGATGGTGATGGTGATGGTGATGGTGATGTGATGATGATGATGATGGTGGTGATGATGGTGATGATACTGATAGTGATGATGATGATGATGATGATGATGATGATGATGATGATGATGATGATGATGATGATCATGATGATCATCATCATCATCATCATCATCATCATCATCATCATCATCATCATCATCATCGTCATCATCATCACCATCACCGTCATCACCATCCATCACCATCAATCATCATCAGCTGATATGCGCCGCAATTAGGGCTCCGCTGCACGTACGGAGCGGCCCTTCGCCCTGGTGCACGCCTCTCGAGGGGGGCGCGGGGCCGCCCAACCCAGGCACGCAGGCCGCTGCGGTGTAAGTCGGGCGTGTCCCCCTACAGGAGGAATATGCAGGATTACTACGGATTGTCAGGGGACGATGTTTGGAGTATTTTTTTTGATGTTTGCTTGATTGTTTGTTTTCTCCCCAAAACCCGCCTGTGTGAGGACATGCCCCACCTAACGCTGCTGCCGCATATCGCACGCCGAGATCGGCCAGCCGCGCACCAACGGTCCCGCCTGCCCAGGGTCACCCTTGCGTGCAGCCGGAGGACGCAGCACATATCGGGGCTGGACAGAACCCCCAACAGTGACACGTCGATTAGTGAATTGTCCGTTTTCGGTTCTCGAGAGGGCGCCGTGGCCGTCAGTTTCCAGGCTTTCGCCCACCAGATTTGGGCCCGACGTCGTTTTCACTAAACCACGTTTTGCTAAAGGGGGTTCTGTCCATCCCCGAACGAAGCAAGGTGGGGCGGATTCGGACGGGGCCAAGACGGGGATAAGTC